CTGAGCTATGCGTGCTTAGGAGTGAGTGACCCTAAAAGCAGGCTCATAAAAAGAAAAAGATTCTCTTTCCTTGTCCGCAGTGAGCTTTGTCACCTGAAACAGCCACATTCAGACAATTGTGCCCTTGTACTATGGTGCAACAGGAAAAGAAGCCTGAAATCGACATTATTTAATCTGTGCATTTGTAGATTGTGCTTTGTTATGGATTGGTTTTTGTTAAGCAAAAGATTAACATCTGAAGGACTAGGGTTGTATGTATAATGCGAATCATGATACAATTTTTAAGCGATTTTGTTAGGGAGAAATGATGTCCTGAGCTAATCCCATACAGGCTTTGTGGACTCCACTCCCAGACCAGACTAAAGCCATCAAGACATTGGGAAAGACAAATCCCATCACCACCAAAGGGAAGGTGGCCGGGACCTGAGGGTGGAGTTAAGCAGCCAGGTTGGGTATAAAAACCAAACACGTGGGCCTTGGGTGGCTCACTATCGCTGCCTCCTGGCTTCACGGCTCCTGGCTCCCGGCCAGCTCTCAGAGTGCCATTTTGGGATTCCTGATTGGCGGATAGGGTAGGAGTCATTTAAAACTTTGTCTCCCACTTTTCTCCCTGAGCTGTACGTTTCCTCATTTCCCCTTCCCTTGAAAATAAACCTTTTATTAACTTTTCGCGTGTGCGTGCGCCTGCAGTAGAGCATTGATAAGTCCTTTTAAGCGCATGGGTGAGGACCCACAGTCAGGTACCCCGTTTTGTATAGGGGCTGCTCTACAACAATTTCACCGTATATTTTACATATAAACTACACAAAGTATACATTTTTATGAAGTTTAATATGTGTACACCTATGAAACCCCCACAATTAAGATAATGAACATATCCATCACTCAAAAAAACTTCTTTATTCCCCCTTCTAATCCATTTGCACTGCCTTCTTCCCTGGACAACCAATGAACTGTTTTCTGTCCGTATTGTTTATACCACAATTGGTTTATCCATTCACCTTTGATGGCTATTTTGGTTGTTTCGAGTTCTTGGCTAACAGAAATAAAGCTGTCATAATGAATAAACAAAAAAAGATACCTGATCAAGTGTGAACATACACTTTCATTTCTATTTGGTACATTCCTAGGAATAGAATGATTGCAGCATATGGTAGGTATGTGTATATTTAACTTTTTAAGAAATAGCTGAGCTGTTGGGACTTCCCTGGTGGTCTACCGGTTAAGTATCAGCGTTATCACCTCTACTGCCCGATTTCAATCCCCAGCGCAGCAGACCTCTCCTGTCTCACCTGCTGCTCCCCTTAGTTCAGTAAATCCACCTGTTCTGCTCCCCACTCTGTTTCTGGTGAATCCCCTCACCACCCGCATGACTAGCCTACACCCCAGTTCTATGCAAAAATAAATAAAATCTTAAAAAAAAAATAGCTGAGCTGTTTTTCAAAGTAGTTGTATGGTTTTACGTCCCTACCAGAAATATGAGGGTTCCAACTCCTCCACATCCTCTCCAACACTTAGGTAGGGTTAGTCTTTTTAATTTTACCTATTCTAATAGGTGTGTGATGGTATCTCTTAATTAATGATGTTAAGAATTACTTCATGTTTTCTTTGGTGAGGTATCTGTTTAAATCTTTCACCCATTTCTTAATTGTGTGTTGCTTCTTGTATTATGAGTTTTAAGTATATACTACGGATGCAGTTTTTTATCAGATTTGATTTGATCTGCAAATATTTTCTCCCAGTTCTGCAGTTTGTCTTAATAATCTTTTGAAAAGGAGGTGTACATTTTAATGAAGTCCAATATTCAATTTTCTTTTTTATGAATCAGGCTTCTGGTATTATATTTAAGAAATCTAACCAAGAATCACTGATTTTCTCATGTATTTTCTTTTAAAAGTTTAATAGATTAAGGTTTCACGGTTAAGTCTATGATCCATTTTGTGCTAATTTTTTGTAGCTATGAAGTATGATTCCAAGTTCTTTTTCTTTTCTGGCATAGGGATATCCTAGCACCATGTTGGAAAGACTATTCTTCATTGAACTGCCTTTCCCAACTTCCTTGAAAATCAACGGTGTAATGGTCTAAGTGCATGTGCATATATATGTATGTCTATTTCTGGACTCTGCTTTGTTCCAGTGATATTTGTCTTTCATACACCTATACCACATTCTCTTGACTACTGTAGCTTTAGATTAATTCTTAAATCAGGCAGTGTTGCCCTCCAATTTTTGCCAGGTAATTAATCTTTTATCATTTACTTTAATAGTTGTGGTCAGTACACTGGAAAGTTATGAAAGTCATGGTTTAGATTAAATTGCTGAACTTTTAAGTTCTCTGGGTTTCAGTTGTCCCCCTTTCCCCTTCAGAGTGGTCCTAGAGCATCAGATCAATGTTTGCTTGTGGGGTTCTAGCAAGTGTTTTGCCTTTTATTTTGGTTGCTAAGTAAGGAGAGCAATGTTTATCTGGGTGATTGAAAATCATCATTCTCTTGTGAGCAGTTTTGATCTTGACCTTGCCATCAGCAAGGGTTATGCCCAAAATAAGCCTAGCTCTCTCATTTTTAAAATTTTTTTTTTTAATATTTAAAGAGCAGGTTTATTAGGGAAAGAGACAGAAGAATAAAAGACACTTGTATAGACACAAGTGGGCAGGAAGAGCTGCCCGGAAAGAGGTTTCTGAGAGAGGCCTGCATGGTTGCAGGCAGGTGGCCTTGAGGAGAGCTGCCTCTGCTGAAGGAGGTCAGTGAAGAGAAGCCCTGGCATGGTACAGTCACAGGCAGGCAGGAAGCTGCTGCCCTGCAGAGGGAGAGAGTTGGTGAAAGTAAGCACCTGCATAGTCACAGGTGGACAGATGGAGTGCTGCCTAGTTCTCTCATTTTCTGTTCAAATTCTTCTTTATAATAAAATGGAAGTCTAGGAGTTGAAATCTTTGCAGTTTATGATTATTTGGTCTAAATATTTTTAGAAATGCATAGTGACCTGCAAATGCAAAAGTCACAAAACCTGCTTTACAGCCATAAAAGATCCTATCAGCCCCTGGTGCTTGAATCTGACCATTTGGTCTAAGTACTCAAAGGGAAGCTACTCAGGTGAGAGCAGTGCTGCCACCTAGCCTTCAAACTTTGTTCTTTCTTTTTTAAGATTAGTTTTGGCTATTAGTATTTTTGTATTTCCATATGAATTTAGAAACATCTTGTCAATGCCTACCGAAAAAAAAAAAAAGAAAACAGGCCAACCTCCCATGAGCAAGAGGGACTTCTCAAGTGACCACTTTCAAAGGTGAACCAAAACATTGGGTTGTAGGGTTACTCTGAGAATGAAATGAATTAATACATGCAAAGCACTTCGAGCAGTGTATTGAACTGAGGCCTTCTGTGTTAAGAGATACCTGAAATGTGGCTATTAAGATTCAGCCACAAGCGAAAGAGGGAGATCACTGAACAAAAATTCATGAGTCAGGTTCTGAGTAGTACCTACTGATGAACACAGTATTCATAAAAATTCTGAAAGATTTATAAATATTAAGTTTCATCTAAGCAATCTTTCTGTATTTACTCATGAGGCCCTTTCCTGAATCCCAAATGAAGACTCCAAATGAAGCACAGTGACACTGTTATCTCCCAGCCCACGTTACATGAGCCAGAAATAAACCTTTGTTGCTGCAGACATTGAGATTTTGAGCTCAGTTGTTACCACTACACAAACTAGGAAATGCTAACTAATACAACAGCCATGTTTTTTTATCATATAAAACTAGAGAAATATGAACAGCAAGCCTATCAGTATTAAGTTACTTAACAAAGCCAATGACAACTGTTTTCTGCTCTTCACCATCTCCACAGGTTTCCTGGAATTTTTGCAATCCAGCCGGCATGTCTCAGGCTGAGTTTGGCAAAGCTGCTGAGGAAGTTAAGAACTTCAACATTAAGCCAACAGATGAAGGGACGTTGTTCATCTATAGCCACTACAAACAAGCAACTGTGGGTGCTGTAAATACAGAACAGCCTGGAATGATGGACTTCAAAGGCAAACCAAGTGGGATGCCTGGAATGGACTGAAAGGGACTTCCAAGGACAATGCTATGAAAGTTTACATAGCCCAAGTAGAAGAACTTAAGGGAAAATATGGAAAATAAGGGACTGGGTTGGGCTGTCAGCCACACATTTCACCGTTTATAATGCCTTGCTTTTCTAATACTGTGGATAGAGTGAACTCATGAAAATAACCTGTTAACACAGTTCCTCAAGACTGGCCAGGATACAGCTCTAGCAGATTAGGGACTGAAGTGGTCACTGACCTTTAAGTAGTTTTTATCTGTAAGTCAATTAAAAGTGCATTTGTTACTTAAAAAAAAAAAAAAAAACTTGAGAACCGATGAAACGAGAGTCGGGCTGTAAGAGCCACTGACAAAAACAGGCTACTCAGATCGGTTTTAAGGAGGTAGTACTTGAAAGGCACCGCAAACGTAACTTTTCTATATATCCAATTTAAAGCGGAGACCGGCTAATGAAAAGCTTTCAACATAAGCAGCTTTTACCAATAAGTTTTACAACCACCCTTATTTTACGGATGAGGAAATTGAAACCTGAGATGGTACAGCGGCCCGATATCCACGTTTCCTGATTTCAAGGTCTCCTTTTCCCCTACAACGCACTAATTACTTGACTTAATGCAAAATACTTCGCTGGAATAAAGTGGGGGTGGGGGTAGCACCAAGTATAACCGGCCCAGCCACACAGCACCCCCGCAGCACATCACCCTCTCACCCGCCCTTCCGCCCACCACCGAGCCAGTGCCGGCGGACAAAAGCTGACGACATCAGAGCGCGCCCCCTCCCGCCCTTCCCGAAAGGCCCAGCGGCGCGCCGGGAACGACGCGAAGGGCGCGACGGTGACTGGGCGGGCTGCGTCACGTGACGCGCGCCCGGCGTGGGATTTGGCTCCGAGCGGACGGAAGCGCCCGGCGGAGAGGGGGGATTGGGTGGAGGGAGGGGGAACGAAAGGCTGGGGGAGGAGCTTGGGCGCCAGCCGCTGTCCCTGTACCGCTGCGACCGGGGGCCAACTCTCTGCTTCTTGTGCCGCCGCACGTACTTGCGCCGCCGTACTAGCGACCAGCCGCCCGCTCGCTCGCCCGCAGGAGTGGCCGGCCGCGGGGGATGGACGCTGAGAACGCGGACAGGTAAGGCCGGCGGAGCGCGCCCCTCCCCCGCCCCTCGCGGCCGAGAGGCCCGGCGGGCGCGCGCACGCACGCACGCGGGGGTCTTTAAAAGCCGCCGCCCGCGTACAAAGGCCGCGGCCGCGCATGCGCACTGCCGGCCGGCTCGGGCGGTCCTAGGAGGCGCGTCTTGCGCCTGCACCCCCGCCCGGGCCTTGCCGAGGTCATTTAACTTGAAAATGCCGCAGTAAGCTGCCCGGTCCCTGGTGGCCGTTCTTGGCTATGTTTCGCTGCACCCGCCATCACTTTGCAAAGGGCCGTAAAAAGGCAGCGTTCCCCGGTTCACTGCAGTTTTAATTTTAAAGTTAGTAAACCCTGAGTTTCTCCCCTAAAGGATTGCTAGAAGCTGCGTCCAGGGCCACGGGGAGGTAGCTCACTCGAGGAGTCATCGACAGGTGTCTTCTGAGTGTTCCTAGGGAGGATCTCAGGAATCCACTTCGAATGTTTCTTTTGGAGAGTAGTGTCAGATACATGGAGATAACATTTTTGCAAAAGTAGGCCTTTCGAGATTTGAACTTCTGGCAGGGAACTAAATGAGAAAATAATTAGGTAGGATGACAGGGTGTTTAAAGTGAAACGAAGCGATGACTTCAAAGGTGGAGTAAAATACTTGGAGACCCAATGAAGAATTGCCCTAATTCGGTGGCTGATGGGCCCGGTCTTAGGCAAGACAGTTTATTCTCCGGGCTTGTTAGGGCTGTCCAGCAGGGCGTTTTGGGAATCCAGTTCTCCTGTGTTGTTCTGATGTATTTTTTTGCAAGGGGTTTACCTAAGTAACCAAAATAAGTTTAGGAAAAGGGATTATGAGATAGACTGTGGCTCAAATACTGAAATAAAGTTTTTCTTTCTTAGAAGAACTTTACAAAGTACTCACCAGAACTCGCAGCATTCCCTCATCTTTGATCTTCGTCCAGAGCAGAATTGAAAACTGGATAAAACCAAATAAATGACACGCTGTAAGATCTTAACTCAGTTTCTTAAGAGCAGATAGGTCTCCCATACAGTGTTTAGCTCAAAACTGTGCCTTATATTCTACCTTAACTTCAGCCACTGCGTTGTAGATCATTTTTTATTTTGGCTTACAAAGTCTCCACCTCCAGAAATATGGAGACTTCTGTATAACTACTCTAAAGAGTTTATCCCTGGAGATTGTGAAATAACTGGCCCCATATGACGCTGAGAAAGTGCTCTGTCCCCCTTGGCTTTGTGCTAGTCAAGGAATGAAAAAGGAACATTGGGTGTCATTAGTTTACTGTTTTATTTTGGTGGGTTGATTTTTGAAAATTCAGGGGAAAAAGTTCCTTGGATAGAGGCTTTTCAAAAGGAAAAGGAGGGCCTCCCTGGTGGCTCAGGGGGTTAAGTCTTAGCGCTATGAAGCTATGGGGCAGCCACTGTAGCATGAGTTTGATCCCTGCCAGGGAGCTAGCCCACATGGCACAGCAGACCTCTCTTGTCTTGCCTGCTATTCCCCTCAGCAGTGTATTTCAGTAGATCCACCTGTTCTGTTCCCCACTCTGTCTCTGGTGAATCTTCTCATCCCTCCGCACCTCTGGCCTACACCCAGCTTTTGTATGCATAAATAAATAAAATTTTTAAAAAGGAGATGGTTCAGGACTTATAATAAGCACATAGCACATACAGTCCTGTGACTCAGAGGAAGAAAGGAAGAGGACCGGCTTGTTTCTGATGTGCTCAGGCATGAAAAGAGCACTTACTTGACTGGAGAAGAGGGACACAGACCCTTTAGAATATAGACCGGAAAGTTTAACTTTTGAATGAAACCAGGCCTTCCAGAGGTTAGAGATCTGAAAGGACTTTTGGACAAGAAAGGTTTGGGTTTTCTGGCTAGTACACTGGCATGTTGCTACTATAGCTGACAGAAAGCATAAACAAATACTTCCTTGTGATTTTGATTTTTCATCTCCTGTGTTGACCAAAAAAAGATCATCAGATTGGAAGTGCTGGAGTGATTGTCTGTAAGAGAGAGTTGAAACTTAAGATCACTGAGAGCATTTAAGAAGACTTTTAGTTGCTTTAACAGAAATTGTATTTCCTAGTCTGAGTGAGTTGTATTTCAAGTGAGAGGCCAGATAGCAGCAGAATTTGTAGATAATAAGAGAGGGACCTGATGCTTGAAATAGACACGTGGGTCCCTGTTTGTTGCAAAGATGGAACCTGTCTTTTAATTTATTGATGTTGATGCTAAACACAATTTTACTTCTCAGTGGTTGAACATTTTTCAAAGAACTAGTGACCACTAAGCCACAGTAGAAGGTTCAATCCCTTTTGAATAATCATACTAGATGAGACAGCATTGGAAGGATAACAGGAGGTAGCTAAAATATGTTATCTTCTGTCTTTATTGTTACAGCAGATTTACTGGATGTGAGGCACTGTTTTAAATGTATTCACTCATTTAATTCTCATAACCAATGAATTTGTGCTACTATCCCCATTTTACAGATGTGGAAGTTGGGATAAAAGGAGATTAAGTAACTTGCCTACAAAGCTAGTAAATGGTGGAGCTGAAATTTGATCCTAGGCAGTCCAACTTCATAGTGCCTTCCTAACTTGACCTACCACTTCTCTTGATGAAGATGGGCTGAGGGCAGGTCAGTCAGTGAAATCAAAACTGGTTTACTACAGAGTCAAGGGCAGGCTGAAGAGAGAGCCATACTATCTGGAACAAGGAATCATCTTTCACAAATAGGTACCATCCTGGGCTCAGGTGCAGAAAAAATAAGATTCAAGTGTGGCATGAGGGAGAGGTGGTAAAAAGACAGTTTTCCTTGATATAACGTCATTGTGAGTCCACAGTGTGAGTGTCAGTGAGGCTTTTGTAACAGGTTTTCTGATTGAGGAAGTTGATCGCTTTGCTCAGTTTCAGGGTGATGAGTGTACATCTGGAATATTTTTATTTGATTTGATTCTGAACACCAAAAAATGACCAAATAATGAGGAAACTTGAAATCATACTATGTGAAGAACATACTAATGAACTGGACATGTGCCTGTTCTAAATCTTTGTGCTTTTAGTGTCTGGCGGAGTGTGCACAGTGATGCGTGGCGAATAGCACGCTTCCTCTCTGTGGTAGAGGTGTCGTCTTTAAACCATTACAACAGTCCCCCTTATTTGAACATTTGGATTATTTCATATTGGTTATTATTTGTAAGTGTTTGGTGTTGTATTTCCTTGTTTAAGTGAAGATAATAAAGTGTTGCTTATAGACCAAATATTTGTGTCCCTCCAGAAATTCAGATGTTGAAACTTAATCGTCACTGTGTTAGCAATTGGAGGGGGGCCCTTTTAGGAAGTGATTCAGGGTAGAGCCCTTAGAAAAGGGATGAGTACCCTTACAAAAGAGGTCTTGCACGCCATGTGACAACACAACAAGAAAGTGGCCCTCTATCAGCCAGGAAGGAGGCCCTCACCAGACGCTGAATCTGCTAATACCTTCATCTGGGACTTTCCAGTCTCCAAAACAGAAAAAAAAAATTGTTGTTTGTAAACCACTAGTCTATGGCATTTTGTTGCAGTACTAATTAAGAGAAAGGTATTTTAAAAAGAACAACTTAAATCTTTAAAATAGTGGAAAATAGGACTGACAAATTTGGAGTTGTTCATTTCAGAAATTGTTTTTTGTAATACAGCAAAATCTGAATTAACTGGACACCTGTCATTCATATGTCTTAGGTATGTCTGTTTTGAGAAAAATGCTTGGAAAACACAGAGTTCATCGGTTTCAGACAGGTGTAAAAACCAATCCCATGAGCCCCCACAGTTCAAGAAAACAGGGTGCAAGCAGAGATTAGGAAATAAGAAGGGTAAACTGCAGGAAAGAGAGGTAGCTCAGAACAGCTGTGGGGCAAAGAGTAAACAGAGTGGGGGTCAGTAAACAAGGGGAAATAAAAGCATTCATCAAGCCTACAAGTTTGATATCAGAGATTTACAGAAAATAGCCTTTCAGGATCTGTTCTGAATCTGGACAAATTGAGATCACATTTCCTGCACACACTCCACATCTTTAAAGTCACTGAATCCCATCCCTCATTTTGATGTTGAGGGAACAGCAGGTCCTGAGAGGGTGAATAGAGACTTAATGCTCTTCTGCTGTTCCTCTCATACAGAGAAAGTTGGTGTTCAGAAGCTCTGTGGCATTAGGAATTATGAAGCACCATATATATATACATACAACAAATGTACATGAGAAATATTTTCATCTTAATATTGAAGCAGGGGCCTCCCTGGTGGTGCAGGGGTTAAGATGCAGCACTATGAAGCTACCTGAAGCCGCTGTAGCTGGAGTTCAATCCCCAACCAGGGAGGTGACCCACATGGCACAGCAGACCTGCTACTTCCCTCAGCAGTGTATTTCAGTAGATCTGCCTGTTCTGTTCCCCACTCTGTCTCTGGTGAATCCTCTCACCCCCCCCCCCCACGCCTCTGGCCTGTACCCCAGTTCTTGTATGCATAAATAAATAAATCTTTTTGGAAAAAAAGATTGAAGCATATTTATACTACTAAATTTTATTACTAGGTAACAGAAAATTATACAGAAAACTTCCTAGCACTCAGTTCATGAAGGATTTTGTGCAGATGTAATGCTTTCTCTTGCCAAGTAATAAGAAGGTCTGACAATTAGGAATTTTATTAAGATCAGGTTAACTTTTTTTCCCCAAGATTTATTTACTTCTGCGTGCAAGAGCTGGGGTACAGGCCAGAAGTGCAGGGGGGTGAGATGAGGATTCACCAGAGACAGAGTGGGGAGCAGAACAGGCAGATCTACTGAAATCCACTGCTGAGGGGAGCAGCAGGCAAGATAGGAGAGGTTTGCTGTGCCGTGTGGGTAACTCCCTGGCCAGGGATCGAACTCGTGCAGCAGTGGCTGCGGATAGCTTCATAGTGCTGAGACTTAACCCCCTTGCACCACCAGGGAGGCTTAGATCAGGTTAACTTTTGCACTCAAAGATAATTACCTTAGAACTTACCCATTCTATTTTCCATGCCACTGTTTTTCTTCTATCTCCTTTCTAATTTAGCTTACTGTAAAGTGCCTGATCATTTTTTAGAAAGTTTAAGGAACACATTGATGTTCAAGATAATTTTCTGTATTTCTTTCAAAATTCATCTACATTTCTAAAATCCTTGGATTTTTTTTCTAACTTTTTCACTTTTCCTTCAGCCAATTGATTTCTAAAATTTTAACTTTCAGTTTCTGAGCTCCAGAATTTCCAAGAATACTTAATGACCCCCTAACTATGCTAAGGGAGCCTCATTGTGGACATTTTTATTTTGAAGGTCAGAATCGTTTTGTAATGTGAGCGGTGGCTCACTCATGTGCATATTTTAATTCTGGGTTTTTGTGAAGTGCTCAAAATAGGACACATCTGTGAAACTGGAGGCAGTCACTCTGAGGGCGGGTGGTAGGTCCAAGAACAGACCTCATGCTTTCTCTGGCTGCTCACTTACTGTGACCACATGTTTTTACTTTTATACATTCTAGTTAAAAGGGGCCCTTAGCATCTCAGAAAACTGCCTTGGCCACAATCAAAAGGTACAGTCTGTTGTACTAGAATTTCCAGAGGGTGACTGCACATGTCGCTTGATGTAACCTGGCCATAGCCAGCGGGTTTCCGTAGTGTAGTGGTTATCATGTTCGCCTAGCCTGGCCATAGCCAACACCTCTTCGGAATTTTTAAATCATAAACACTGACCAACCACTATTTTGACCATTGATTGAAAAGAGCTACAAATACTATTAAAGAGAAGTGGGTGCAGGGAGAAAGAACATTTAACTTTGTGCCAAGCACTGTTTAAACATCTCTTCATTTTTACATTTTAACTTCTAGTTCTCACTTTTTATATTCTTTTCTACTTTAAAATGTATATATTAAGCATTGTCTGTATTTTTAGATAGTATCAGTTTGTTTTTTAGTAACACAGTAGTTTTCATGTTAATGAACTGTAGTTGATGAAATCATTGCTGATGTCTTTTTCTATTATTTGAAAACAACGTAGTCAAAGAAATAGCTCTTACATACAGCTTACTATCTTTCTCACTAATTCTTAATCTTTTCTTTACAACTTACCCTTAAAGATAGCTTGACATTTAAATGCTTCCCCAGCAGTTTATCCTTTGGATGAACAGAGGATTGGACTCCTGCTTACCCCTGAGCCACCAGCATTCTAACCTCCCCACTGTGGGTGATGGTCTCTTCCCCACCCTCTGTGTGCCTTTTTTAAAAAAACATTAAGTGATGATTTGCTTAATGAAAAGGCACTGATCCCATTTGTAAGGACTCTGCCCTCATGGCGCCTAATCACTTCCCAAGGCCTTATTTGCGGTAAGGTTCACTACTTACAATCTACTTCTTTGCCCTTTCATCTCTGCCTTGTGAGCTCCCTGCTTCTTTCGCCATGCCACGCCATGTGGAGAAAGAAAATGATCAATAATAAGCAGTGTCTTGCCACAGAAAATAAGACTTTTCTCTCACATGCTAAATGGTAGGTGTCCCTTTTCTTGCCTTATGTTTTTCTTCCTACTGTATATTTCATGGCATCATTTGACATTAGCTATAACGTGAGTTTCATAAAATATGTTTACTTCCCCAGCTTTGTGCTGATGCAACAGCTTGAGATGTGGTTTATGTTCCTCAAAAATAATTTTGAAAATTGTTTTCTGTGAAGGCCTGTGTTCCTTGCATTGAACAGAATATTTTGAACAAAGTTTAAGCCATGCTTAGAAAAGCAGTTTAGAGTGGATTTTTCCCCCCATAAATTTAGACATTTACAAATGTCCATTTCTAGTTCTCACTTAGTAGCAAATTAAAACCCAAGACCTAATGACAATTCAAAAGACAGACCAAATGGGTAGGTAAACCAAAGGAGAACAGTAAGTTAGGTTGGAGTGGGATTGGGGCCGGCAAGGTGTTGGCCAAAGGAAATAAACTTCCAGTTAAAGATGAAGTGGTTCTGGAGACCTGATACACACTCTGGTGATTCTAATAACACTGGATCCTGTATTGAAAAGTTGAATCTTAAATATTCTCACCTCAAAAAAAAAATAGTAATTAGGTGAAGTGACAGAGGCGTGAGCCAGCTGCAGTGGTATTCATTTTGTAGTACATGTGTATCATGCCACATCGTACATCTTCAACCCTAACAAGATTTTATGTCAGTTGTTTCTGAACAGAGCTAGAGCTAGGAACAAACTGAGATTGAAGGGGATCCCTGTGACGAGAGAATTAAATAAAAAGAGACACAAATTGTGTTTATGTGCATAGCCCCATTTGGGCTTGTGGGTCTTTCAAGTCTTTGTACTAGAAGCTTCCTGTGATCTCATTTCTGAGAAAATACAGACTGACTTGACAGGACCGATAAGTTTTATTGATGACGCATCTTGTCTTCACAGCGTGAAAGTTCATGTTCGGTTAGTAGGCACCCAGGGACTGAGTGAATGTGTATGTATTAGAATGACTCTTTGTCCTCTCTTTGCCCCTACAATCTTACTCTAGATAATTATGGTTACAAAATATTTGGATCCTGAAGGTTTCTTGTAGCTGATCATTTAAACTTACATTTGGGTAATTATGTCCCCGTGTCTTCCACATTTCAGCCATTCCCTTCAGCAAGCCCAGGCTCTTTATGCATTTCCGTTCCAACAAATGATGGCAGAGGCTCCTCCCGTGGCGGCTATGGACGAGCAGCACCTGCCAGGAGACGTCCCAACTCCTGCTCCGGAACCGGAACAAGGTAGTCTTCACCAGCACAATTTTGGAAACTGGCTGTTGTATTAGCCAATTTATTGAAGAAAGGGTTTTCAGCTCTGTTTTAATGCAAGAATTTAATCCATCATTTAAGTACTCAGTATGTGCCAGGCATTGTGATAAGTTAGGGGAAGAAAAGGATGCAGATCCTGTCCTTGAACAGCTCATAATCTAGTAGGGGAAATACAATTAAACACGCATCATACCTCCACACACTTAAGTGGTGCAGAAGGGCGCAAAGTGCTGTGAGAGCTCTTGGGGCTGGCGCCTGACTTGGGCTGAGGTGCAGAGGCAGCCCCTGAGAGCTCTGAATCTCAAGGGTGGGGAAACTACCCCCATAAAGAAGTGTGTGGGGCCGAGTCCAGCCCAGGGACCAGCATACCAAAAGCAGAGATGTGAGGAAGCATGTCACAGTTCAAAACCGAGTGATTCTAGGACATTTGCATCTGGGCTGAGAGGTCAGGCTGGATGGGGGCACTTGAAGCTTGTTATTTAACCAAAAGAATGTGTATTCTGTCCTGAAGGCAGCAAGGAGCTATTGAGGGAATGTAAGCAGGAGGTGACACAAGTAGACTGACCTGTAAAATACTGGTCAGGAAAATGTTACACTAGAAGGGATGGTAAAAGCATGGCAGAACTTGGAGGCGAAAAGTGGATTAAAACCTGTTTGAATAACTTGGGGGAAAGATGAGGGAGAATGAAAGGGGTGGAGGACAGAATTAGGAAATACTCAGGAGGTAGAACTACCTGGCATGGTTAATGGATTCACATGGGGGACAAGGACATAGGGGAGTCTGAAAGTAACTTCTGGTTTCTAGCATAGGCAGTTGGAAGGAGGAGATAACATTCACCAAGTGGAGAATTCGAAGAGAGTAGGTTTTGGGTGGGAGGTGGAAAGAAGGCAGAGTAGTTGTGTTATATAAGAAATGTGTTCAGAATTCTCCATAGCTTCATAGTGCTGAGGAAGGCTTCATAGTGCTGCGTCTTAACCCCTTGCACCACCAGGGAGGCCCAAGCAAAGCTTCCTGTTGAGTAACTTCAGGTCAGTGGCTCTTCCAGGGATGATTTTACCCCCACAAAACATTTGGTGTTGGTGGAGTCACTTCTGATTATTGTGACTGGCAGGGTGCTATTGGCATCTACTGGGTAGAGACTGAGGCTAACATTCTGTAATATTCAAGACAGCCCCCACAACCAAAAATTATTCAGCCTAATATGTCATTAGTGCTGAGAGCATGAAACTCTACTTTAGGTCCTGAGATCAGATCCCTTGTCTTGCCTTTTGAAAAATAATGCCAACCCAGAGATTTCACCCTTAGCACCTCCAAATTTACCTTTTTACCTGTGTGTGGAGCAGAATGTACTCTCATAATCTCTAAAAGAAGCCCACAAACCATTTGAAGTTTTCTACTGCTGGAAATTATGGAAGAGTTGAGTTAAAACAGTCTTCTCCCTCCCTATTTTTCTATTTCATTTGATTACTTAAGTATGCATTTATGTTTGGAATCATATAAAATGGTACATAACTATTTGTTGTCCTGGGGAGGCCAAGATGCCAGGTAAGCGTGTATGGAAAATAAATCTCCAATTGTTACGGACATTCCATCTTAAGAACAACTAGCAGGGGAAGCGGAGTTGGGACTGGGGCCACGTGAGCTCAGTTCTAGGGTGAGGTTAGGGGAAAATATTGCAGGGGAGACTGGTGCTGGGAATTAGAAAAGTGTAAAGGATGACTTTTCTGGGAAAACTGCCTAAAGTTCGTAAGTTAAGGTTTTCTGGAAATGATTGTTTCAGAGACTCCAAAAGGAAGGAAAAGAAAACCCAGAACAACACAACCCAAAAAAACAGTGGAACCCAAAAAACCAGTGGAACCCCAAAAACCTGCCGAGGCCAAAAAATCTGGGAAGTCCAAAAAGTCAAAAGAAAAGCAAGAAAAAATTACAGACACGTTTAAAGTGAAAAGAAAAGTAGACCGTTTTAATGGTGTTTCAGAAGCCGAACTTTTGACCAAGACTCTTCCTGACATTTTGACATTCAACCTGGATATTGTGATTGTAAGCATCTTTAGTCTTTGGCTTTATAAATAGCATTGGTGGGTTAACTTAACTGATAGCCCTGCAAATTAGCATTTTCCTTAAAAACCATTTCTGAGAATCCTTTGGGTAGTAGCTGGTGTCCCTTCATGAGGTGGTGTTATTATTACATGTCAGTGTCTAAGAGGGTGGGCTCCAGAGTGGGGTTGTCTGGTGTCAACTCCTGCCTTGCAGGGTGACGTTGGACAAACCCTACCCTTCCTAAACACTAGTGTCCTCTTTGGTGAGACCAGTGAAATAGTGCCTCCTGTGGAGGGTTGCAATTATTTTTTTTTTTTAAGATTTATTTATTTATGCATACAAGAGGTGGGTGGGGTGCAGGCCAGAGTGTGGAGAGTGAGAGGACCCACCAGAAACAGAGTGGGGAACAGAACAGGCAGACTGACTGAAATACACTGCTGAGGGGAGCAGCGGGCGAGCCAGGAGAGGTCTGCCACGCCGTGTGACTGGGGATCAAACTCGTGCTGCAGAGGCTGTGGATAGCTTCATAGTGCGGTGCCCAACCCCTTGCACCATGGAGAGTTGCAATTAAATGCAGTTTTCCTTGTCAAGCACACATGACAACTATGAGTTTTCCATAAATTATAGCACTGATTTTAAACTTCAGTTTTTGCCAGGAACCTAAGAGACGTCAGTATGCAGCAGCTGTGTAGATGGGGTGTGTGGGGGGGTGGTAAGCCTGCTAGCCGGGAGCTGAGGGGCTGACTTGTGGCTGGACATGGGCGGCTCAGCAGGTTCCTCCAAGGCCTCCTTCCAGCCCAGGTGGTGGGAGCAGAGGCCTGGCTATCAGAGAGTCAAACTGGTTTTTAAAACAGGAATGAAACTTTTTAAACTTCTAACTTTCTTTGAAGTGGAATTCTTTGTTCAGATCAAGAGTAGATCACTGATAAATGATAATGCTTATGATGTGGAATTAAATTTGTATTTTAATAAATTGTGTCCACCACTCCTCCTCAGAAGCCCTAAGGGTTAAACCCTACTTTTAGAGACTAAAATTTAAACACTTTTTGTTTTGTAGATTGGCATAAATCCAGGACTAATGGCTGCTTACAAAGGGCATCATTACCCTGGACCTGGAAACCATTTTTGTAAGTGGCTACTTTTTTTATTATTTTACTTTTAAAATAGATAACTTTGTTAATAACTTGGGGTGGGCGGGTTGTTTTCGCCAAATTGTGTTTTTAAAGAAAGAGGCTATATTATATGTAAATATACCTACTTTCCATATGTGTCTGCACAAATAAAAGGTCACAGTAAACATTTTGGTGTATGAAAGTGGAGGGACAGAAAAAGGACTTCTTTCTCTTTTTGAATTGTTTTAAATGAGCTTTGCTACTTTTATGAATGATTTCCTTTAGTTATCATCTATAGATGTGGTAACAATAATCCTTGTGCCAATGCAAACAGAAGCTGACCTTCCAGATTTCTGCTATCATATTTCCAAGGAGAGGTCAAATGCATTAGCAATCAAGTTGTAAATTGACTGAAGATATTTTGTATAGATAATTCGTATTTAGCAGAAAATAATGCTGAAGATCCTCACACTTGTAGAGTGAACTTTAAAATCAATTATAACTGCTGTTATATTGTCATCTTAACCTATCGCTGACCAAAAGAACATTCATGCAGATGATTTTATCTAAGATTGATGTTTAAAACATTTAGAACAAGGCTAATAATGTGTTTTTGTAACTAATAGCATATTTTCTCCATTATGTAACAAGGAAAAACTTCTGGAGAAGTTTGGTCTTTTCCCTTTTTTCACTGTCAGAGTGTTCTGAGTCCATTGGTGTATGCTTATCTGTTAGAAGTATTACAGGGAGTGGTGTTAATCACCAATTAATTATTAGGAGGGAAAACAAAATTTCAAAGTTTCCTACACTTACTTGAATATTCAAGAGGCATTTGCCTTAACCACCTGTAAAAAGGAGATAATTGTAATATCTCATTATATAGTTATGATGATTAAATGAACTAACACATGTAAAGGGCTTAGCATGTTGCCCAGCGTAGTAATTGCCTGATATGGTATTTGACCTATGTAATAATTTTTTAAATATGCTAAATATTCCCCCTCCCCCTCCCCCCCAAGAATAGACTGTAGACTGCCTTATCAATTCATGGGACAAAAGCCTTTGACCTTCTACAGAAATAAACTGAATTCTCTTTTTACAGGGAAGTGTCTGTTTATGTCAGGGCTGAGTGAAGTCCAACTCAATCATATGGATGATCACACTTTACCAGGGAAGTATGGTATTGGGTTTACCAATATGGTGGAAAGGACGACACCAGGCAGCAAGGATCTTTCCAGGTAATAACAGTGTGGATTTTAGAGGTTGGAGGTTGAGCAAGCTGGTGCCTTGTACTCTAGGGAAGTCACATATATATAGTTCATACCAAGTGTAATAGTTTGAGGTTTCACCTTTTATTGAAAACTGTCAGAATTTAGCATATTATAAATACTGCCATATTTGTGTTTTGACCACTCTTTCATTCAATTTTAGTAAGGAATTTCGTGAAGGAGGACGTATTCTAGTGCAGAAGTTACAGAAATATCAGCCACGAATAGCCGTTTTTAATGGAAAATGTAAGATTTACTTTTAAATTTTATCCTTTTTTGTTTGCTTGCTAACATCATGAGCAATATAAATATGTTTGTGTTTCATTTTAGGTATTTATGAAATTTTTAGTAAAGAAGTTTTTGGAGTGAAGGTTAAGAACTTAGAATTTGGACTTCAACCCCATAAGATCCCAGACACAGAAACCGTAAGTCCTGAAAATTACATTTGTGAATCAACTGAATTTTGCCTAGCTAGTTCTCATTTTTATTTGTGCCATCCTTTATGAATTATACCATGAAAATGTATTCTGCTTTGTTGGCTAATATCTATATTATGTCTGTGCAAGCACATTAAATCAGACTTGGTCACAGTTATACTAAAATACACATTAATAACTTAGTGCTATGTTGTTTGGCTAAAATGATGAGAGGAGCTGGCTCATATACTACCTTCAAAATATAATTAAGCAGAGCCTCCCCTGGCGGCACAGCAGTTGAGCATTGGTCTGCGAAGCTGCCTGCAGCCTCTGCAGCGCTGGTTCGATCCCCAGCCACAGGTGAGGGTCTCACATGGTGCGCAGACCTCTCCTGCCACCCGCTGCTCCCCTCAGCAGTGTATTTCGTCAGTCTGCCTGTTTCTCTTCCCCACTCTGGCTCTGGTGAATTCTCTTACCCTCCCACGCTTCTGACTGTACCCAATGCTTATATAAATGAATAAATAAATCTTTAAAAAATATATATATAATTAAGTGCCTGTTTACAACTTTTTAACAACACACATGTACAGACTTCTGTGTTGCACACAACTTAAATGATAGAGAAACCATTATGCTAACAGGTTTTTGTGGAGCTCTCAGAATCACATTTTTGCCAACTACATACATTTGAATGTCTCCTTTTTAAATCTTTTCTGTTTTTTTTTAAAGCTTTTTTTTTTTTTTTTTTTTATTTATTTATGCAAGCACTGGGTACAGTCAGAAGCACAGGAGGGGGAGAGAGTTCACCAGAGCCAGAGCGGGGAGCAGAGCAGGCAGAAGGACCGAGGTACACTGCTGAGGGGAGCAGCGGGCGACAGGAGAGGTCTGCGCACCATGTGGGACCCTCTTCCAGTGGCCAGGGAGCAACCGGGGATTGAACCGGCGCTGCAGAGGCTGTGGGCAGCCCCGTAACCCAGCGCTCAACCGCTGTGCCACCGGGGAGGCCCAATCTTTTCTGTTTTTAATTCCTTTGAAATGTATGGTTGATAAGTAGGTAGTAGCACTGGTCTTTCTTTAAATTGAGGCCTAAGTTTGTCTCCTTGGCTAATTGTACAGGTGGGTTTACTACCATAGAGCACTACATTGTTGCCCCTTTAATGCTGGGTGACACTCAGGTGCATTTTTTGGATATATGTGAACTTGAACCACATATGATAGGTAGTTTTAGTGTGGTTTTTTTTTTTTTTTTTTAAGATTATATTGTATTTTTTAAGATTTATTATTATACAAGCACTGGGTATAGCAGAAGTGCGGGAGGGTGAGAGAATTCACCAGAGCCAGAGAGGGGAGCAGAACAGGCAGAAGGACTGAGGTACACTGCTGAGGGGAGCAGTGGGCGGCAGGAGAGGTCTGCGCACCATGCGGGACCCTCACCCGGTGGCTAGGGGTTGAAACGGTGCTGCAGAGGCTGCGGGCAGCTTTGCAGCCCAGCGCTCAACCACTGCGCCACCGGGGAGGCCCGGTAGTTTTAGCTCTTAACAGTGAACTGTAGGGCCTTCCTGGTGGTGCAGGTGGTTGAGCACAGCGCTGTGAAGCTGTCCGCAGCATCAGCAGCATGGGTTCGATCCCATCCGGCAGGGGAGAATCCCGCATGGAGTGGCACACTTCTCCTATCTTGCCCGCTGCTCCCCTCAGTCAGTCTGCCTGTTCTGCTCCCTGCTCAGCCTCTGGTGAATCCTCTCACCCTCCCGCACCTCTGGCCTGTACCCCAGTTCTTTAAAAATCTTTAAAAATTAAAAAAATCAAGGAACTGTAAGTGCATTTATCTTTTAAAGTGTATTCTCTATCAAGAGGTATTCATAGTTATTGATGATGTTGGTGATTCAGTTTTGAAACAAAAAAAATTGCTTTTTCAAGTTTCCAGATCACATTAATTGTGTATTTTAAAACTGGAAAATGTAGTGTTTCAAAACCTGGTAGGATTTACACCAGCGTATCTTTATGATTCAGGATCTCCTAAATGCGGATAAGCAAAACAAAATATTTTTTCATTAACACATAGCATAGAGGCCAATTTAAAAATTGCAACTGGAAATTACATAATCCAGCAGTCTCAATTTTTGATATGCAGAAGATATATATTATTATATGTGGAATTACACTCTGTAAAGGTCAGTTTGTCACTGTCATCCAAAACAGCAAAGTTAATGTCTTTCTCCTTGGCTTCAGATACTCTGAATATGTGATAAGCATCAAGTTATTAACCCAAAGAAAAATAAATTTTTAAATCTTAATATAAGTAGATTCAATAGAGTTGAAAAATTTCTGACTCTAAGGTGTTACGATTCTAGCTCTGCTATGTTATGCCATCATCAAGTGCAAGATGTGCTCAGTTTCCTCGAGCCCAGGACAAAGTGCATTACTACATTAAATTGAAGGACTTAAGAGATCAGTTGAAAGGCATTGAACGAAACACAGATGTTCAAGAGGTGCAATATACATTTGACCTACAGCTGGCTCAAGGTATGTTACCATTACTATTCCTTTTATTCGATTCATGTATTCTATATATGTTAAAGAATATGTGTTACCTGATTTAAAAGCAGAAAAAAGAAAACAATTATATTTGGAGCCAGAACGCCCTGATAATGAATATTAGCTCTATTAAAACCTCATTTTTCCAATGTCTTCTATCAATTCTGGGTACACCCCAGATGTTGAGGATCTAAGAAAAATGGTAGTCCACCTACAGTTACATCTAATAGGCTGTATAAGTTCTTAATTTAGTGGAATGGAACAAAGCATTTAAAGGATTATGGCAAAAGCTATATCCCCCTCTCTGTGAATAGTCAAATTGTGATTTCTGAATAAAGTTTTTTTCAAAATTATTGTACAAAATTCATCTTAAATTCCTTTCATCCTCACAGAGGATGCAAAGAAGATGGCTGTTAAGGAAGAGAAATATGACCCGGGTTATGAAGCAGCCTATGGTGGTGCTTACAGTGAAAACCCCTGCAATAGCGACCCTTGCAGCTTCTCCTCAAATGGACTGGTATGTCCCCTCTTCGTGGGTTCTTTTCTAAGACTTGGTTTCATCAGGATTGGGAAAAAATTTTAAAAAGTAAATTTTTCAAGAATAATTTAGTAATAGAAAAATCTACTTAGTGATTAATAGTGAAAATGTGATGGGTTATTTGATGTTTAGCTACACATGTTTTTATAGTTCATTTTCTTGAAGTCACTGACTCTAAGTCATCTCGGCTGTATTTTCTTCCTTGAATAACAAGTGAGGATTTAGTCAGTCTCGTATGTCAAAAGAGAACAGACTTATAATTAAATTTAATTGCCTCCTTAACTAACTTAGTAATAGTTCTCCATTGTACTGTTAAAAATCTCCTAATGTAACCATTTAAGGTTTAAAACAGAATAAACTAATATTCTCTCCCCTCCTACCCTTCCCCCCCCACCCCCAGCTGCTGACAATGGAGAAGCAACATTCGGTGACATTCCAAATGGGCAATGGATGGCCCAGCCATTTTCCCGAGCAGCTCCCTCCCTTCAGTAGTCATTGTGGGCCGCAAGGCCAGGAAGAAGAAAACCGTGCTTGAGAATGGCGTGTTTCAGCTCTGCGTAAATGCTGCAGTTTTAATGCAGTTGTCAAGAAGTTGCCCTCAGTTTGCTAACTGAAGTATTTTATTAGTATTTTACTCTTGTGATGTAATCAA